CTGGGGTGGGGGCAAAAAAAATGGGGCAAGCAACAGGGTTGTTTCCTGATTTGTGTGTTTTTCCACTCCACAAAAATGAACAGGCTTTCCATGTATAACAAAAATCACAGAAGATGTTAGCCAAACAATTCAAAAGTGAGAGAACTGGAAAAGCACAGGACAGTTTGGGAGATGTGGTGCACACTTCCTGTGATGGTGCAAGAAGCTCAGGCCAGTCTATGACCCTGTGGAGACAAAGGGGTCTGCAGGAGGCAGGAGGGAGGCAGTGTCAAAATAATCAAGATGCAATATGCATTGTATCGCATTGTATCAGCTCCTCTGAGATGTGTGTAATCACTACACGCTGCAGATGTGTATTAATAACAACACAACAAGAGAGATAATGAAAGATTCCACACAATGTATGATGTTGGTGATGCAGGTTTGTATGTAAAACAGCACAGGAAGAGCTCTGGAGAAATTACTGAGATGGGAATCCTCATGAAAAGCTGGGGCGGCGTCTCACCCCAACGTCAGCACTCTAGAAGGCTGTGGCAGGAGAGCAAAAGCCTGAGCACAGCTTAGCAAGCACTTGTCTCAAAAGGTAAAGGAAGTGCTGGGGATATAGTTCCATATAAAGGTCCTGGATTTACTCCTCAGTAGTGAAAAAAGAAAACAAAAAATCCTTGCGTGTTCAAAAATATTTGGCCCACCCTGATCCATCCAGCCAGGGCCCAAGGACAGCAAGCTGTTTGTGGGGCCCAGGCAGCTGGTGGGTACTCTGGAGCTCCTTTCTACCATGCCTTAGATTGTGGGTGTCTTCTCACAGATAGCACGGGGTGCAAGGCTGAGGGGAAGGTGAGAAGCGGGGAGGACAGAGCAGCAAAGAGCCCCACACTCTTAACATGACCAAGAGCCTGAAGGCAGTGAGGGGTCGATGGAGTCACCACTCCCCACTATGCAAAACAGTAGCGCTGTCTTCCTGAAAAGTGAACGGCAGTTCTGAGCCAAGGAAAGGTGTGGCTGCTTTCCTGGAGTTGAGAGTGGCTTGGGGTGGAGCACTTGCCTGGCTTGAACTGAGCCACTGTTCCCCTGGTTGGTCTCTACCCAAAGGCCATTCTTGAAGCAAGAGAAGCCACCCTGCAACCCTTCTGCTACCTTGAAGGCAGGGACTGCAGGGTCCTGCAACCTGGTCCTACTGGTCCCAGCTAAAAGGCCCAGCCAGGCCCTTGTGGACCTGAGGTGTTCCTGAGTGGACCCTGGGACCTGTCACAATACTCTCACCCTGGAACACAAGGGAAACAGACTCTGAGCTCGACCCCAACCTCTGGCGGGGGACACTTTCCTAGCATGGCGCTGTCCCAGGTCCTCAGGGACCCCTGAGCAGGTGACTCGGGAGCTCTGCTGGTTCTCCCAGAACTCTGAGCAGAGCTGCACACTGCTCCTCCTCATCCACACCTCCTCCTCCTCCTCCATCCTCACACAGCAGATGCTGCTGAGAAAACCAAAGTGATGGGAAGAGATTTTTCACAGCTCCTGCTGCAACCCGCCGCCCACCTGTGAGCCAATCTGATCAATGTGCATGCCACGTGCTTCAGTACCCCAGCCTTACATCAGCACTTTTATTTCTGCCCACGTATCACCTCATCAATTTACAGACACACTGTGATTTTTATGAACTTAACGTGTTTTGTTGACCCTGTTTCTCTTGCGAGCAACCCCAGGATGCAGCTTTCTTCCCCGAGCAGGAAACTCCTTTCACATGTTATCTGTTCGGCTGGCCACTGACCACTGACCCAGCTCCACCAGGCTCAGCCCCTTACTCAGGCTCCGCCCGAAGCAGCGCATCTCTCCTCATATGCACATGCCAGCAGCTCTCTACCCACATGTGTGTGCTGCTTGGCCCAGGGCTTTGGCTTCAGCTCTCCTGGCCTCTCTGCTCACACCCTTGGTCAGCTGTGCGGTCTCAGGGAGTTCAGGAAGGTGATGTCTGGACAACACTGAAGTGCCAGCCCCAGCACAGACTTCTCAGACTCCACGCCAGTCTACTCTAACATTCACCTCAGCTCACCAAGCAGGGGGGTGTGCCAAGGCTCCCCACCAGCCTCTCCCAACCCCATCTTCCACACCTTGCCTCTGGCCGCTCCCCTTCCAATGCCTCTAATCCTTTACTGGAAAAAGAAAAAAGAGGAATATTCAACTGAAAGATAAACCTGAAGCCTCTCAGAAGGTAAACAGAAAACACAACTGGGCATAAAATAGAAGAAATCAGGGATTACAGTCAGTTGCTTAATAGGTAAATAACAGGTATTTAAGAAAAAAGACAAAGATACCAGAGGGGGCAAGATCATTAAAGAAATAATTCAAGAAAAAGTTTAGAACTGAAAGAGTTTACAGGAAGACCATTACAAGACTAAAAGACATTTACAGGTCCGCCAAGAACCCATTATCACGACAGGTGGAAAAACAGTCATACAGCATGTGTGTCTGCCAGTTTTTCACATTGTGGTAACAAGATACCTGAGCAAAGGAGCAAGGTCTGTTTTGGCTCATGTTTCAGTCCATGGTTGACAGGTTCCCTTGGTCTGGGCCTGGGTCATGCAGCCAGGCAGGAAAGGCCGGGGGACAGAGACAGTGGGAGGCAGCCAGAGACCACGTGCAGGGCCAGCTTCCCCCTCGCTCTCCTTCCGTCCAGGCCACCCTTAGGGTGCTACCCACGCCCAGGTTGAGCTTCCCCCAGCTCACATGCAGCCCTCTGGAAACCCTCAGAGACTCACTCTGAGGGGAGGCTCACTACTTTCCTAAGCATGTTTCAATCCAAGCATGGTGAACCATCATACCTTACAAGGCGAATCCACAAATGCGGCATCATGAAGAAGCAGCACAAGCCCGTGAAACTCCAATTCCCCGTAGCAAAGCAATTTCCAGTCACAGATTCTGGACAGTCATGCTACAAGGAGGGCGCGGTCAAGACATCTTTCAGGCACATAAGCTGCAAACCACCTCCCTCCCCAACAGCGGGGCTAGGCGGCCTGGTCCTGCTCCCAGCAGTCTCTGGAGGGACTCGGTGGGGTGCAGAGCAGGACAGAGCTGCCCAGTCTTTGTCAGGAGACATTTGCAGGCTGTTCCCCTCCTCCTGTGGGGGATTACACTTAGTTCTAAAGGTGAACCTAAAGTAATAACTTTTCTGCAGCCCCTGCAGGAAATGGTCAGCCTTGGGAACATGTATGACCGTGACCATTCTGCTTGGCCATGGTGTACACTTCTTGGGCAGTACTTTAGAGTGGGCTGGGATCCTGCACTGTGTGGTCTGACCTTGTGAAAGGACACAAATCTGTCCTGTGTTGGCAGGAGTGGGGGGTGGCACAGGAACAGGTACATCCCCCAGAGGAACTACACAAGCAAAAGCCAGGGGGCTGAGACCTCATTCTCTCTGGAGTCTTAGCTTTTGAGCAGGCCTGAAATCATGGCTTCTGATAAAGGAGTACACATACACACACACACACACACACACACACACACACACACACACTCACACACACACACACCCCTACACACCTCGGGGGCTCCAGCTGGTGGTGAGGCATGGGATTCAGTGGCTGGGCAGACTAGGTTTTCATTCCAGCCCCTTGGAAAGATGCCTGTTTGCCCACCTGAAAGCAATGCATTCATATCTCCAGCCGTGCCAGGACACAGCACTTACCCCGCACCCAAATGCAGTAGATTCCATCACTGTCCTCATTTTCAGTGAGGACAGATGCAAGGTGGTTGTTCCCTTCCCACTTTCCACTGGGCACTCAGCACAGCGGGGGCTTAGTACAGTTGCTTGGTGAAAGGATTGGGCCTACCTCTGAGACAAGGCATCCATGCCCCAAACATAGAAGCTGCCAGGTACCAGAGAAGGCGTCTACTTAGAATTCAGTGAGGCACTCCTCAGCACTCTGGCATGAGTAGTTGGGGATGTGTGGCTGGCACCTTTAGCTGGTGCACACGGCCTTCCTCTACAGCAGGGCACCTCTGGAGTCTCACTCCCCCACTGGGCTTTTCTCCTGCAGCCCTCTACGCCCTGCTTTGAAGCCCAGCTTGCAATGTGTATTCTTCACCTCATCGTTTGACACTTATATACTTTTGGAATGACAAACTAATCTGAAGCTCTTATAAAAACCAAGGAACTTATCTCCAGATAAATGTTCATATGTGCATAAAATTCTGCATAGTGGGCTCTTAGCTTCCTGAAGAGTACTCATGGACAGATCCCCACCACATGCCCAGCTTCTTACTAGACACTGAAGCTCAAGAAAGCAGAGTCCATAGGAGCTACAGCAAGGAACCACGAAGTAGTAACAGTTTATAAAAATGTTCTAAGGAGCCTGACCTTTAAGATCACCTAGTTTTTTAATTTAGCAAGTGAAGCAACAGAGGTAAAATTGCCTTACTAACTTAAAAGTAGTCCCAGCAACAACAAAGAGTAGAGGGGCCACTCCCTGTAGAGTGGGCTGCAGGGAGTTGATGGCCGGGTCTGAGGGCAGGCCCTGCAAAGGTCCTGCCTGTCTACTTTCCTGCTGTCCATGCCCTGACCACCTCTGGATCAGGCATGTGGGGGAAGAGTACTGATTGAATTTAGAGCTGCTATGAACACTGGCAAGAATCACCTGGGTCTCCGCCTGAGTACCCAGGCACCAGCTGCAGACCTGAGCAGGCCTATCACTTTCTCATTTGCAAGAGAGTGGCAATAATATCATCTGTCTTCCCTGTACTGTCAACAAGGTGAAGGGTCTGTCACATAATTCAAGCTCAACATCTGTGACTGCTACTTTATTATCTGGGTTACAGAACGTCTCAGTGGAATCAAAGAAGAGATCATGGACAGTGACCTTTGGCTGGGACATCACAGCGATGACCACATTTTCATGTGAAGAACCAAATCTTCAGAATAGGGACCAGTGCTCCTAACCCACATCACTGCCCCACACAGACAGAGATAGGAGCAAATGAAGACTCCGCAGCCATCACCACAAAACTGTTTTGTTTTGTTTTTTGTTTTTACTAACAAAACCAAAGAATCCTAAACACTTTTGTGGACATCAATTTCTTTCCTTCAGAGTTTAAAATGGTATTGTGTATGTACACACTTTTACATTTTAAACACATTCTGGAGAACACAGTTGTGAACACAAACAAGTTCAATAAATGGACATGAGATGCTTTGAAATCTGATCTTGAATACTTAGAACGGGTAAATGGATATCTGTGTTACCCCCCCCCCATCCTATGTGGTGCCACTTCTTCCCTGCCTGTAGGAACTGGCAGCTGGCCCTGAAGGCATAGCAGCCCATATGACAGACAGGAGGAAGCAGGTCCATGTAGAATCCTAGAACCACACATCTGCCAGTATCTAGTGGATAAGGAGCAACATGTCATCTCAGCAGGCTTTTAAAACTCTGAAAATAAAATCTCAATTTAGTCCACAGGTATTTTATCTTTTTCTTAGCATGTTGGACAGAAAGGTGAGCAGATTTGCACACATGCACAGGAGCAAGTGCACCTGGTAGATGCCCAGGGAGCTAAGAGTCAACTTGGCTAAGAGTCCCCAGTGGCCTCCTCGCAGAGAAGGGCTGGCCAAGAGCCCAGGGATTCGGTGAGCCCCACACTTCGCTTCCCCAGACAGGAGACAGTCAGGGCCTCTTCAGCAAGCTCTGTCTGTGTCATTCTTTGGTGACGTGGGTGGGAACTATGCTGTTGGATAAGACTCTGCAAAACATTCCCACCAGCTAGAATGGGGTGCTGAGCTCCTCTGAAAAGCCATCGACTAGCAGGAAGTCACTTAAAGCTTAATCATGAGGGTCAAATCACCAAGCTAACATGAAGGAAACTGTGACTCAGACACAGGGCTTCCTGCAGTGAGGAGACTCAAGGGCATCCCTTAGAAACTGAAGGTCACACGTTCAGAGAGACAGATCCACACATTCGATTTAGCAATGCCCAGAAAACTGCACATGAGCAAAAGCAACTGCTCTTCAAAATGGGTTATTATTCTCCTCCCTTTACAAAATAATTGGAAACCAGGTCTGATGAATCCTTAAATGCCCCCTGTAGACAAGGACCAAGCCAAGTCTTGTATTCTGCAATGAGCACCTTACCTTGCTCAGATGAAGTTCTCAGAAATTTCTTGGCTACTTATACCCGATGACATAAAAACTCTTCTAAAACAGAATTCTACACAACAGACTTACTAAGTGTGTGTGGGGGTGCTAATTGAAATTATCCGTTTTAAGAAAGTGTCACCCAGATCATGCTCTAATTTTCTTGTTAGAACATTAATGTTGCTCCTCATACGTACAAATGCAGATGAGTACTTCTGATTTTATTCCTCTGAAGTACACAAAAATAAGGAATGTATTTATTCCAAATTTATACTGAGGACAATCCTCAACTAAATCTATGCACTTGCAGCTAAGCTCACTTTAAACTTTTTGGTGCTCTATCACCCCTTTCCAATTCATTCACTGTTCTTAAAATAATTAAGTTATCAGTTGGTAAAACTGCAATGGGATCTGTTGTAATAAAATACACCCAGGTGAATGTTCTACATTTACCACCATTAAGTCATTGCTACTTACGGTGTGGTCAGCATGGTATTGTAAAGTTCACCACCCATGACTGCCTAGCACCTCGTGCCAAGGAGCCTTGTGAACTTCATGTAAGGTTCAGGAAATAACAGGGCCACTGATGGAGTCCCACCTCTTGACAACCCAAGGCCAGCCCAACACAGTGGAGGGAGGTGCCCCTAAAAGTGCCTTCCCCAAACGTGCCAGCAGATGCCCTCTTGTCTACTGTTCCTTCCGTGTTTGGATTGGTCTTTCCTTCACATTCTTTAGAAAGGTACCCATGGAAACCACCAAGGCCTTCTTACTAGAATGCCGCCCTTGATGATCTTTCTAATATATAAGAGACGTCTCCTGACAGTTCCTGCCTGTCCATGGACAACGCCCTTATGCATTATACACAGAAACATGGCGGCCAATAGAACTGTGCAAGCTCAGCCTTGCGCGTGTGAAGAGAACAACTCACACTTACAGACAACACGAAGGACCATGCAGACACTATAGGAACCAATGTGAGAAACTCCTATCACACACACAGGGCAACACTGTCACAAACGCTGATGGAATGGCTTCTGACACTCATGCTCTAACTTGAAAGTCTCTATAGCAAAGGGGCCTGGAAAGGTGTCTGCCTTTTTTCTTTCAGGATTCACAGTTGGCTGTGTCAGGCACTGGACAATCTGGAGGCTTTTGGTCCAAAAGGTAATTTAGTTGTTTTATTGCACCTTTTTAATCCCTCTGGGCAGAGCCAAGTTCAAACGCGGGAAACCGTGATGTCTCTGGCGTGAGGATATCGGAGAGAAAGTGAATAGCTCCGGCCATGCCTGCAAAGCAAGAGCAGGAGCTTTAGGGATGGCTCTCGGGCACTGTCTGAAATGGGGTCTTCTGTCATCTCAATGTAATGCATTTTGTATCACAGAGAATGAAACTTTCTACTCAGAAATATTTTTCCTTATGGTTCTGTGAATTTAAAGAGACAACATTCCCCTAAAGATCTGACCAATGTCCTGATTTTATGTGAGTAAAACACATTACCAATACCAGAAATAAAGCAGGATCTATTAGTATAGTTGACTCAGATATCACAATAATAAAATACTATCAATAGCTTTACGCATATAAATCTAACATCTCTGATGAAATGGTTCAGGTTCTCAAAAAGTGCAAAATAGTACAACTCACTGGATATGAAACAGACTAAACTTAAACTGCCCTGTAACTATTTTTTAAAAACTGAAATTGTTTCAAAAGCTCTAGAGAAAGAGATCCAAAAGATTTATCTACAGAATTTTACCAAACATTGAAATTATGTTCACACCAGTTCTTTCACCAATTAATACACAATCTTTTCCAGAAAACAGAAAATGAAAGGAAGTCACTAGGTCAATGTCCTCATACCACAGCCAGATAAATATGGTATGAAATAGGAAAACTAGAGACAAAATTTCATGGGTACACATGAAAAAGTCTTTAACAAAATGCCAGCACATTTGGGATTATGCAATTTGTAAAAAGAACTATGACTAAATAGGCTTATTCCAGAGATAGAAACTGGTCTAATATTTGAAACAGAATCAATACAACTGACAATATCAGTTGGCTAAAGGGAGTAAAGCAAGTAGCCTTATCAACTGACACAGAAGGGGGACTACAAAGCTCAATACCCATTTATTTGACTCAAAATTCATTTATTACTTTTGACGTCTACAAAGAATATGTGTGAGATATAGCTCTACAGTGTTTAAAATTTAGCAATTAATCCTAACACCAGTTAGCTCTGGCTTTGATACCTGTGGTTTATAAGTGAGTCAGTATAAATACCAGCGCACATACAAACATAAAAACATTTCAGTCTTTCTGTGGGTCTTTATTATCTCCCTAAATTAGTCTGTCTGTCATACTTGCAGCAGACGACCAGCTGCTGTTGTTTATACAGATGATCTGTTACTGTTCTTCCTTTTCAGAGCTTTCAACATTAACTCTTGTTATAATTTTACAAATAGTAATACTTGTAATTGATAATATTATTAAGTCCCTGCTACGGCTTGCGTCTAGATGCCCTCCTGCCAAACCTCATGCAATCACAGAAGTGGACTTTTCAGTGGTGGCTGGATCTAGAGTTCGTGATGCTGGGATTAAAGCTGTGGAATTACTCAGTGTCCATTGGTCAGTTTGGCATAGTTCTGGCTAGGATTAAGGATGTGAGTGCTATATCAGCCCCATAGCAGGTAGCCTGCCCACAATATAACGGACAGGAAGAGGTCTGCTCCCTTTCCCTTATTAATTTTGCAGTCTTCTGCCTGCCATGGACTATTCTCTGCAAAGCCATCCTGCCCTGAAGCCAGGTGGACTGAAACCTCTACAAACTGTAAACTAAATAAACCTTTCCTCCACTAACTTGTGGGTGTTGGGTATTTTGTCTCAGCAATATACAAATTAACTAAGATACTTCCTTACATATTTTAAACAACAACCCAGGATGCTGTGAACCCCTCAATATTAGACCCCGTGACAAGGGAAATGCTTGTCTCCCTTCACTGACCAGCAGGCATTCCCCACTGTCCACAAGCCCTTCACAGAATGTATCAAGCACACTGGAAGGATGGACAGGACAGAGAATGGGCATGGTGAAGGCACTCAGCATCATTTTTAGCAGTGACCTGACCTCTCCATGGCCACTGTGACTTTGAAAATACTTAGGCGAGACCAAAGGTACCAGTGTGCAGCCCCAGGGATGGCATGTCCTGTCCACCTGGCCAAAGCTGACTGCCTACCTTCAAAGAGGGAGTAGGGCCTGTCAGGGATGCGGCACCCGTGCGCTCCGTAGTCCAGACACCACTCTGCAAACTGACAGGAAAGAGACTCTTTTGAGAACACCATTTCCACTGGACGGCATTTCAGGGAGCCCCCAGGAGCCAGAGCCAGAGGTCTGCAGGTGGCTGGTTTACAGCAGGGCTGGGCTGCAGAGCCCCTCTGCCCTGCAGCTGAGCCCCATGAGGTGAAGCTGCAAGAAAGTCTAAGGTAAAAATCCTTACCCAGCCACAGCTCCAGGACCTGTCTCCTGCCCCATCTGTTGGAAAGAAAGCCAGGTGGAAGTGGCCTTTGGCCCTCACTACGCACACCAGTATCTTCTCTGTCTTCAGTGGGAAGCTCACAGCCTCGGGAACAATCAATAAAGCTGGAAAATGTCCCCTGCCCTGGCTTCTCTGTCTCAGCTTTACACGGGCTCTATGGCCCCACAATGAGGCTCCTTCACCTGGAAAACACCTCCTCCCAGATCTAGGTACTTGCCTTGCAGTAATCAATTTTGCCTTTCTCCTGCCTCTTCAGTGAGGTTCTTCTGAATTGCTACTATAGACATCTCCCTAACTTTTTTTTTTTTTGCTTAAACTGACATTATTTGGTTTTGTATATTAAGGATCATAAGCATTAAACACAATGAATATAAAATTCAACACATGTAAAATAAACTTATTTTGCATTCTAACTTCCAAATCTGTTTACTTTTTTTAGCTTCTCTGATGCACCATCTACCTCATATTCTCAGTCAAGGAAACATGAAGTATTTGTTTTTTCTACATTAAAACAAAACAACTGCATAAATTCTGTGGTTCCACATCCGATGTGTCTAGATCTCTTTTGTCGTCACATGCAATGCCCTGGAATATATTGAAAAGTTTCTTGTATTTATGATCAAACAACAATGGGGTCACAAGACTTGTCTCATCCTTCCTTCATGATTCCTCTCTAAACAAAGGGCTCAGCTACTTTCTAATTAATATTCAGTGATGGCCATTTATTAAAATCACTGGCAGGGTTTGAAAGATATTGGTACCTGGACTTGTTCCCTTATGATCTAGGATTGGCAGAACCAGGGTTAAGAAAGGTTAACCGGCAGAAGATGGGGCTTCTCCACCTGCTGTCCACCTAGAGAGGACAGGGCCCCTTCACCTGTTGCCCACCCATGGAGGACGGGGCCCCTCCAACCAATGCCTGCCCACCTGGCTTTATCTCCATCAGAACCACCCACTCCATGGCATCACACAGAACTAGACTCAGCTTTCCCAGACACACCGTGCTGCTTCACACTCTAATTTGGGGTGAGTTCTACTCCCTATCTTCCAGGGCCACCCTTTCCTGACATGCCTGTGAGACTCTATCTTTGAAGAAACAGAGCTATCTCAAGGCCTCATGACATCAATTCAAGTTCTCCTTCCTTATCTCATCAAGTACAACTTTAATATTGAGGCTTCTGAGGCCTACAGATTCTGGCAGCTTTCCACTTCTGCCCCCACTTCCTCCCTCTACCCCACACCCCAGCCTCCATGAACTGCATCCAGTCCCCGCGTAGCCCACATTTCCAGGCATGTGGACCACAGTTTTCTTCCTTTTAACATCCTCCTTCAGTCCCTGTAGAGTAACCTCCAGCCATCCTCCAGGTCTTGGGCTGGACATTACTCTCTCCCCTCCCAGGACTGGGTTGGCACTGCCCTCTTTATGGCTCTGCCGCATCCTGTGGTCTCCCACAGACATGTATGAGACCCCACAGGCATGTGTGAGAGCCCCACAGACATGTGTGCACTCTCAGAGAGCCCAGAGGGACAGAGGAAGGCCCATGGTGCTAAGAGACATTCACTGTGCAGAGGGAGGTGTACACTAGCCACAGTGTCCTCCCATCAAGGTCACTATGTGCACTCTGGTGATCTTTTCCCAAGTTTCCTCCTATGTGCTACGTCATGAGAGCCGAGTACAACACTGAAACGCCAGCACTGTCTATTGTGTCTTGCTTTGTGCACTCATTTTCATACACTCAGAGCAGATTCACAACTTTCTACTCAGCATTACTTACTGTCATTGGTTCTGATGCAGGGTAGTGACCCAGACCAAGGAGACATGGAGCTTACATTATGCAGGCATGCCATGCTCAAGAACTGAGAAAGATACATAACTGATGGCTGTGAGTGCTGCTCCAGCTGGGAGTTTAGAGGCCTGGGGACACCCCTACACTGACATGGGAAGGCAAGGAGTCGCTGTGCAAGGCCTGGGGGGGGGGTGGACAGTCCCTGCTGAAGGAAACAGTGCTAAGAGTCAAGGGTGTGAGCACGAAACCCTCCACCTCCATTCTCCACAGCAGGAGGGCTGGCATGGAGAGTGGAGGCCAGCTGGGGTGTGGGGCCAGGAGAGACATACTTGGGAAGTGGGGTGAGCACAGGCACAAAGCTCTGTGCACTGCAGAGGAGTGTGGGCTTGGCTGATGACAACTGCGCATGATCTGCATGTGGTCTTGATGGATTCTCAGAACCCCCTGGCAGGTGGGTAATACTTTTCCCATTGCTACAAATGAGGAAACTGAGCTGACACACACAGGGATTCCACCCAGACAGTGCAACTGCAGAACACATTTCCTGACAGCCTCTGCATGTGTCACCCTGTGCTGCAGACAAGGGCACCACGGCACAGAGAGCCCAGGACAAGGCTGTGCAGTAGAAGCCACCTCGCGGGGAGAGCTAGGCAGAGACAGCTGAGAGAGGCGTTGTGTTGGAAGCCTCCGTATGCAGTTCCCTCACCTTGCAGGCTCGATAGAGGTACTTCTTGTCCTGCGTGAGGTGGTAAAGGGATAGGAAAGAGTAGCCATTCCCAGCAGTACCGTGGCAGATGCCATAACCTTTCCGGAGAAGACCTCGCTGCCAAATCACGTCGCTGCACTCCATGGCATCTCTCAAATACTTCTCCTCCTTAAAAACCTGGACAGGGACAACCAAAGCAATGTCAACAAGAGGCTAACAGATAGCAAAATTCTTCTCTCCTATACAAGGCTTTATGGCACATGTCTGTAGTCCCATTACTGTGAGGCTGAGGCAGAAAGCTCTCAAGTGAGAGTCCAGCCAGGGTGACTCAGTAACTTGGAGAAACCTTGTCTCAAAATAAGGAGCTGCAGAAATATTTCAATGTGAAGTCCCTTTTTCAATCCCCAGTACCACCAAAAAAACAGGCAAACAAAAACTTCACCTCTCGGGTTAGAAAATTATATTTAGGAAAACAAAAACACCATTGGGGGTAAAAAAAAAAGTTAAAAATTAAAAATCCCCAGCAACATGATGCACAGCTTCTTACAAGCTCAATCTATTTCTCTTGGCCTCCAATTCAGTTTTGCTGAAGAAATTCTAAAATTTAGCTTTAAAAATTAATATTGAGCTGGGTATGGTGGTACACAACTGTAATCTCAGTACCTGGGAGGCTGAGGTAGGGTGATCACCATGAGTTCAAGGCCAGCCTGGGCTACATAGCAAGACCCTATCTCAAAAAAAAACAAAAACAAAAACAAAAAAAACCCCCAAAACAAAAACCAAACCAAAAATAAATAAATAAAGATTAAGTAGCACATTTTGCAAATGGGAAGGGGCCCAAAAGATGGCAAGAGAGGAGAAAGGAAAGTGATAAAAACGATGCTGTATAGATGTACCAACTCCCCAGGAAGAATGTGATCTTTACAAACTACATATATGGACTAAATCAAAATTTAAATGATAAAAAATTAAAGTTATTCCATCCCCTTGGTAAGATGCTTCATCACAAACCACTGCACACTCCTTCGGATGCACATTCTAGAGTCCCGAAATGTCTACTCTTAGCAAGGGAGACCAAGGCATTAATAACCCCGTGGCACCCTGTTGCTGATAAGAACACCTTACCCTACGTGAGCCTGTGTGTTCGTGAGCACCTGCAGAGCCCACCCTGTGGGCTAGAGAGAGTGCTCGTGCTGAGCTGGACCCAGACTGGCTCAGCCTCAGAGCAGGTGCTGGTGGAAGCACTCACGGCAGCTCCCCAGGGCACTTCCTGTGGACAGCTGCAGAGTGGCCTGCCGATAGCCACGGGTGGGCGGAAGGAAGCTGCTCTCACCTCCTCAGTGGCCCCCTCAGCAGCACTGGAGTCTGAATCCAACACCTTTGCACTACACTGCATCCCCAGCTATTTTAGCTTTTTTTTATTCTGATATAAAGTCTCTTAAATCACTAGGTTACTCAGACTGGACTTGAATCCTCTTGCCTCAGCCTCCCAGAGTGCTGAGATTACAGGTATGCACCACTGCCCCTGGCTCCAGACTCTCTTCTACATTTTCCACTCTTTCTCCTCACATTTCATAAGTGCTCCCTGGTCCTTCTCTGTTATCTGTTATCTTCAGCCAGGTTATTCTAGTGCACAGGAGTTAGGCAATGAGGAGCACAAATGTCCCCACATGTGACGTGGACGTGGGCCCACCCTCTTGTGATGGTGAGGAGTGACCTCCTCGGCACCACGCTGAGATGAGTTCTGAGGCTGCAGGTGCAGAAAGGGAAACAGAGTTAATCACCAGGTTTCCAGAATCATATAAAGGCAGCCGAAAAGTGGGTTCTGGGGTGAGACTGCCTAAACTTGGGTTTCAGCTTTTACCCGAGCGATCATGGACAAGTCACTTAGGCTCTGTATTTGTGAAAAGACAACATGGCCTGTTGGGAGGGCTCCCATGAGATAATGTGCCAGGAGCTCAGCACAGGGCCTGGTATCCGACATGCTGACTCCTGTGGAGCTCTCCCAGCCATTATTCTTCTGTGTCACACTGCCAGCATGAATACTGCCTCCTGTCACTGGCCCTTGAAGTCAGCTGTAAAGGAAGACACTCTTATCCATCCTAAAGAAACAATCAGGCAAAGCTGCTAGGTGAAAAGCCACTTTCTCAGGCTACATCCTGAAATCCCAGGAGGAGCAGGCCAGCTCCAGTAAACCCAACTTCCTCCTTTCTGGTGCTCTGGGGGAAGTGTAGTTGAAAGCAAGCCCATTTGGTGCCCTACATATTGTCCCTGCTTCCCTAGTAAGACACGTGACTGATGGTTTGCTCCCATAATATCACCTATACCTTAGTTTCTGAGCATCAGCAGCACCCCTTTCTTGCCCTATTACATGCGTGCTCTATGAGAAAAGCTATCTGAGAGTTTAAGAAGTACAGAAAATGTTTCCAGAGTTAGGGACAGATTAATTTTCTTTATATTACAGAAACCACAATTTGTCCAGACAATGCATTTATATTCCTTCTTCTAAACAGTAACTTTCCCTGAGAGGTCTCAGGACAGGAAGTGTGGGGAGACAAGATGCAAAGACAATCATCTGAGATCTGAGTCAGAAGACTGAAGTGAGAGTCCTCTTCTACATCCACAGTCAATTCACGCAACTTCCAACAGTGAGACCTTGGCATACAACTTCTTTGAACCTTCTGGCTCATATTATGATACAGACTGACACTGAGATGACTCAAAATATGGAAGGAATGACAAGGATTTTAGGTAGCAATGACAAATATCTGTAAGGATGAAAAGAAAACTATACGTACCACCAATGAACAGCTTTTTGGCTTCTATCTAGATGTTCCCCCAAGTGCTGGCTAAATCTAGGGTATGTGACACTGGGATTAAGGGTGTGGTACCAAATTAGTCCACTGAGTAGAATTAGCAGAGTTCTGAGGCTGGATAATGGAAGCCCCGTCCTGGGTATAGGTGGCACCAATTAACAGGCTTTTAGCCTGGATAGAGTATAAGGGGAAAAGAAGGAAGGCAAGCTGGCTGCTTTCTGCTTGCCATGCCATGGACTCTTTTTTTTTTTTTTAATTTTATTTAAGGAGAAAAAAAAATAGAGAAAGGGTACAAATTATACAGATTTACAGAAAAAAAATAAACAGTAGGAAATCACTAGTTAATGGATTACATATTGTCATCTTAGAAATAATTGTTCAAGTCACAAAATTAAAGCTTGTAAAGTGGACATTCCAACAGTGGGACTGCAAACAGTTCTGTTCAATGATCCAATAAAACTCAGTGATATCATTTTCTCTCTTATACACTTAAATATACATGTAGTTATATCATTTAGAGCACTTTCTTTTCCTCTCTTTTGTACAATGACAATTACACATTTTGGGTTTTGTTGCTCCCACAGTTCTTATTACTTTTTTGGAAGGGAGTAGAACCAAATGTGACATAACAGAACAGAGTCAATCAAATCAAAAGGGTGGACATGATAGATAATGTAAAAGCATAATACAAGGTGATCAATAATGGTTACCATAATGCCTCCTGCTATCTCTAGTAGAATTGCCTATATCATCAGTTATAATGAAATTGAACAAAACAGTAAAGAACAAAACTAACAAAACCAAAGCATTGGAGACATTGTAGGTCTTCAAAAATAGATAAAAGTCAACGAGAATGGGCGTCATAATGAATCTCACTATCTTCACAGCTGTTGCCTAAACTTTCGAACCTGGTACTATAGGGGGACATCAGTCAAAAACAAGATGGTGAGAGTAATACAGGGCTTTAAATCAAGATAATGGAAAGTCAAAGTGGGTTACTATAATATATCCTGCTATTTTTAAATTTATTTTTCCCTTAATTAAAAGGATAAAAATAAAGTAAATAATGAAGTGGAGATTGAGATAAAAGAGGGCATAACAGCAAAACAGCACAGATCAAAACATAACCATTTAAGCAGAATAGTGTTTCACCACAAGATAATCCTGACATAAAAGTAGTTACCATATTGTCTCTTTCCTTGGAATCTTTGAGTATAACTTCGTATACTGTAGAATCAAATATATCAAAACAATGTAAAACCATTTAAGAGAATGACAGCATTACAGGGTATTTAGAATCAACTAACAGAAAATGAACAATGGTTTTTGTATAATCTCCTTGTCTTTAAAAGTTTTTGCTTATACTATCGTACATAATAAAATCCAATAAGATACAACCTGTTTAGACCAATGGAGACAGAAGAACAAAAGCTTGATGAGACTTCAAAACAAGATGATACTAAATCAGTATTACCTATTAAGATGTCATTTTCTCCAAAATAGCTGTTCCTATCATCCAATCTTCTCTGCCTCATTTCTCTTGAGCTCTTTTTCTGTCATTAGTTGTCAGTTTGTCTTCTTCATTTTGTTTTCTGCTCCATTCATTGTGGCCTCTCTGCCACTATTTCTGGATTCTTTGTATTTTTCTTTTTTAGAATACCCTGCAGTATTCTCTGTAGAGTTGAATTGGTGGTTGCATATTCCCCTAGTTCCTCTTTATCCTGGAAGCACCTTGTTTTTTCCATCAATTTCCAGGGATAGTTGTGCAGGATATATCAATCTTGGCTGGAGATTATTATCTTTCAAAGCTTGAATTATTTCCCCCCACACTCTTCGTGATTTGATGGTTTGTGCAGAGAAATCTGCTGTAATTCTGATGGGTGTTCCCTTGTAAGTGGTCTGTTTCTTGTCTTTGACAGCTTTTAATATTCTGTTCTTGTATTGAATTTCTGGAATTTTTATTATTATATGCCTGGGTGTTGCTCTGTTTGGGTTGTAGGTGGCTGGGGTCCTGTATGCCTCATACCTCTGAGTATCTTTACCTTTTGCTAAATTAGGAAAATTCTCCTGGATTATTTCTGTGAGTAGCTTTTGTAGCTCATTTGTTTGTGTCCCTACTTCTTCTTTTATGTTCTTAATTCTTAAGTTATGGATTCTCTTATCATCTTCTAGTCTTTGTATTATTGCTGTTTGTTTCTTTGTTACTTTTAAGAAGTTTTTTATTTCATTCTCCCATATTACAAATCTGCCCTCCAGTTCAGATAGTCTGTCCTTAGTTTCTTTCAAGCTGTTATGCCAGTTTTCAATAGAGTTTTTAATTTCCTGGTAGTCTCTTTGAACCTGCTTCACGTATTCTATGCTTTCTCTATTTTCTCCCTCTTTTTCTGTTCTTCCATTCCACCATCTGTTTTTTCTTGGGTGGTGCTTAGCATTTCTCTAACTATTCTGCTTATTTCTAGCTTCAGGTCATTAATAACTTCATTCCTGAACTGATCTATGAGGCTCTCTAGATGGCGCTTTATGTCTATTGGTGCGGTGTCCACTATTGCCTGTTTCTCAGGATTGGGGGCCGAGGAGCCTTTCTTGTTGCTGTCTCTTCCCATATTCTTTGTTCCTTATATATGCAAGCTTATATAGGAGGTCCAGCTTCCCTCCCTGTCAGCCACAGCCTGATCGAATTGCGCTGGCTAGGTGTTCCCGCCCACCGCAGCACACCAGGAAATTGTAGACCAGGCAGCCTACGCGGGGCCCGCCCCTCCAGGCCACCCTCAGGCTCTGGGATCTGGGTTGTGCTAGCCCACTGTGTCTCTGCCAGCAGCATCACGTAGGCTAGGCACTGCTCACCAATCCCGCTTGAGAGGGGGATACATGGCTGAAGTCGCTGCAGCGCCCCGCTCCCGCAAGTCTGCCCAGTCCCCGAACGTCTTCCTCTGGAGTCTCATTAAATTGTGGAAGAGTGTCAGTTTCTCTCACTCACCTCACCGCAAGTCAATGCACAGCTCCCCACCCATCCTGTTTTCAACTCCGTTCGCCGATTCCCATTCTCAGAGCTTCCGCCCGTCTGTCTCCCTGCCGAGCCGATGTAGACACAGCCGCCGCGCGGCGGGAAACCCAAATCGCGGCTTCCAATGGCGCAGGCTCCAGCCTCCACACTGAGGCCCCTTTGTTCCTGTTCTAGCACCAGGACTGCATTCCAAGTTGGTTTCTCTCAGCCCAGTTTGTTCCTGGGTCAGCAGAGCATATCTCCACCTGCTTATGTCTCCTTACTCTGCACCATTCCTGAATTCTAAGCCGAGTCTTTCAGAGAGCCTCCATAGCTGCTGCTATCTGTCCGCCATGTTCTCCCGGAAGTCCATGCCATGGGCTCTTGTCTCCTCTGTGATGCCCCTTTGCCATGTGCCCTGCCTTGGAACCAGCCAAGATGAAACCTCTACAAACTGTCAACCAAAATAAACCTTTCCTCTTTTAACCTGTGAGCATCAAGTGTTTTGTTTCAACAACAACAAAAGTAACTAACACAGCGGACATTCATTCATTCAGAGGACAAAAGGACTTTTAAAAAGAAATAAATGGATATTACAGACCTTGAAAACCATCTACAAGAAAGATAAAATCACTGGGTAAGCTTATAGCAGTTTGGACATGACAAAGGAAACCACGGGTGAATATGAAACTAGGTAAAAGGAAATTACCCCAACTGAATTACAAAGAAGAAAAACAAACTTAAAAATAACCCCTACACCATGTATAGAAAAATAATGGCCAAACACAGAATGTAGTGAAAAATACATATCTATGACTTTGAGAAGATCAAGGAATCTCAAACAGGATAAATATAAACAAATTTAAAATAAAAAAGCTAAGAGGAAAATCTTAAAATCTTTCAGAGGAAGAACATGCACACACACATGTGCACACACATGCATATATTGCAGGAAAGAGACCAGCATAATGAATGACTGATTGCTTATCAGAAACAATAGAGGCCCAAAGACAATGAAGCACTAGCTCTAAAGTACTGAAAAGAAAAAAAGAACAGTCAAACTAGAATTTCACAACCAGCAAAAAATTCTTTTAAAGATGAAGGTAAAGTAAGGACAAATCTAAGATTAATAAAAATCAATTATTTGCCAAAATCAAAAAGATTATCAATAACTACTTTGCAAACCTGTATGCCAATAAATTGGAGAATTCACAAGAAATGGACAGATTCCTAGACACATACATGAATTACCAAAACTGAAACAAGAAAATTTTAAAAACCTGAATAATCCAGTAACATTTAATAAAAAATCTACCAAATAAGAAAAGCCCAGTTCCAGATGGATTCTCTGTGGAATGCTACAAAAACTTCCGATAATCCTCAAACTCTTTAATGAAACTGAAAGGGAAATAGGACTCCCAAAGTCTTTCCTGGAAGCCACCCTGATTCTAAAACCAGACCAGGATGCAATCAAACAAAGAAACTATAAGCCAATCTTTTTAATGAATATAGATGTAAAAATCCTCAACAGGACACAGGCAGACAAAGTGCAACAAATCACCAAAAAGTTCATACATAAACATAAGTATAAACACAAGAAGGAAAATAAATTTTGTGAATCTGGACTCAAATTTTAGTTTTATTTATTAAGTATATTAATATTTTTCAAATACTTGAAAACTTTGTCTCCATAATCATACTTAAAGAACTTCTGATTTTACATGCAAGACAATAAACTGTAAAAGCTTGTTATATAAAAATTATAAACATTTCCTAGTCAGTTTTAAGATACAGCTCTTATGAACTGGACATTCTTAAGTAACTATAACTTGAGAGAAAGCAGTCTTGAGTTGTGTTCATCTCTCTGGGTCCCTGCCCTTGCCTAGGTCACACACAAATTCAGTCCCTCCAACTTACTTACTAGACAGAGTGCACAGGTCCAGCTCATGGTGTATGCACCCCGCAACAGGAAGGTGCAATATAAACTTATTTCCTGCAATTCATACTGTAAAGACATTTTTTACCATTAAATGGACAACTGGATTATTTAAACATTTGAAAGTTACCACTGATGCCTTTCCAATCTCCGAAGATTCTGATAATCTTCACTTTCCTCATGTTTAGTGTATTAATGTAGAGGACAAAATCAGGTCTGAATCAGTAAGTATGGGACCTTAACAGTTCTGGCTATTGCCAGGCTATTTCCAAACAGGAGAGATTTCTGTTCTGGAATCAATGACGGAGAGGAGGTATTCACGTGGGATCTGGGCAGAGCCCTGCAAGAAGAGCCAGTCCTCTGTATAACATGGAGATGCCTGCCACCAGGTGAACCTGGGGGTGGGGGTGGGGCACAGGCAGCAGAAACTGTTGGCAGGGCCAGTGGGAAAGGAGTTGCCCAGAATGGAGGTCCTCACAGGGCATGCTGGAGCAGAAGCAGCACTCACCTATAAAGGCTGGTTGGTGTCTTTAAGTGGGGAGGGGAAAAGAGCTCCACAAACAAAAGTTTCTATCCTAGCATTTTTGCATCTGTTTGACTCTGAAAATGTTTTAGTTTATGCTGTCAATATTATGCATACATCCTACAAGGTTGGACATTTATAATACTACAGATATCACTGTGTCACTGCTCCAAAACTAGAAACAGAAGAGGTAATCATCTGAACAGAATTATGGATTACAAGGCAGTACCTGTGAAGAAGACGAATCACTAAGTACTTCTAATTCTGAAAAGATGTATTTCATTGTGCCACACTCTCAACAAACATCATGTTAATTCTTAATGTATGAGTCATACTATTTCAATATTTTTGGTGTTATTATTGAAGGACATCTAAAAAATTGTGAAAAATTAGTGTATATCATATAAGTTAGTTTCCCATAACTTTTTTGAAATAATCCATTATAGTTCCTAACAAAGGGAAAATAAAATTGATGCAGGTACCAATACTTTTGATTTTTTTATGTCAAAAGATGAATTCTGTTCTATTAATTCCACCTATTTCTCTGAAGTAGAGATTTGCCAAAATACTGTGGAATGAAGAATCATGGTGGTTATAGTTTTATTGACATGTGTATATCCCAACATCAATTATGTATTACAAGATAAATTAAATGGAAAATAAAAGGACAAACAAAGCATTGTTTATTTTCATAATAAGTCTTAGGGCAGAAATAAATAACACCCTTAATTCCATGCCCAATATGTCCTGAATTTACTAGAATTACAGCTGAAGGTATTGCTTACTTTCCCATAATGCCCAGATGCAGAAAAATGGGAGCACCGCTCCTGTTTCTTGGGAATAATTTTAAAGTCAAAGTCAAAAGCTCTTGAATGATTATATTCAACAATGGCTTATTTGTGCAAGAATGTAAAATGGTATGAAGACAACAAAATCCAACTGTGGTTATAATAGTGTCTGCTGCCTTGCTGAGTACTCCTATCACGAGAATGAAAAGCATTACTATCCCATCAGATGTATTTTTCTTTATATATGAATACAAATCCCATAAAAACACACTTGCAGCAGGAATCACAGGGATAAGTAATGAAATAAACAGACTTTCTATTTATTTTGTAAAAACACTCATTCTAAAAGGTTTATAAACTGGGCATGGTAGTAACACCTATAATCCCAGCATTCAGGAGGCTGAGGCAGGAGAATTGTTGAGTTCAAGACCAGCCTAGGCTAAAAAATGAGCTCAAGGGCAACCTGAATGGCATAGCGAGACCCCATCTCAAAAACACAAAAATAAATGAATGAATGAATGAATGAATAAATAAATAAATAAAAGGTTTATAGTGTGCAACCAAATAGGCTTCCCCAATCTAGCTGAAAGTGTGCTGCATACCTGTAGCCTGATGCTTGTACTACCAACAGAAACACTGGCTTACAGGCCTGTGAGCACGTGGTGTCAACAGCTGAATGCTGACCTCAGGGGCCTGCATAAGCACCTGGGCGACCATAGCTGAATACTGACCTTATAGGCTTGCATGAGCATGTGGATGACTCCAGGGGCACCATGGCACCAGTGCACCAAGCGATCTGTTTCATTGCTTAATGAAGATGGATAATTCCCAGATCGAAATTTTTTGTGGCGCACATAATCGATACTAGGCTTGACCATTTCTGTCAAGGTTTCTTGGTTGACTTTTGCTGCTGGCTTTAAAAAAACAAAACAAAATCAAACCTATTTTTTCTGAAGTTTCTTTTTAAAAAACTCATTGTATCAAGGCTAATAAAATAAAGCATCAATTATCTAAAATACAGAGGAACATATAAAGTTAAAATTAACTCAATTATCCAACTTTTTTAAGACTTAGGCAGGCCACATTTTTGTTTCAACTAATTTTGAAATCTTTCTAAAATATATTAGTGCTATAATGTATTAAACCTATTTTTTTTCTTGGATGAATCAGTACCAGCAACTTGAGGGCAAATCATCCAATACAATGAAGAGGGAGACCTGGTTGGGTCTCTAGTAAACCTAACACTATGAAAGATTTTATTCAATCGTTCTGCTTTGTCTAAATACTAGTCCTTGATTTCTTCCATGTGGCCAAATATTTCCCTCTTCCCATATCTGTTCACTGACTTTGCCACTTCAGGCAAATTATTTAACTTTCTTATCCTTATATGATAATCACAGCATTCAACTCCTGAGGTTGTTGTGAGGAGTAACAGAAAAAAATGCACACTTCATTCTCTCATCCAATAATTGGTCTTACTTCCTGAAAGCACTCATTAAATTTTACCTATTCAAACTTATTATATGATTTCTGTTAACATTTTACTATAGACACTGTTGTGGTCAGGGCTTGCAAGGGATCAGATTTAATATAGGAAACATACTTTATAGGAATTCTTTTATAATATTCACTAGAAAAGTCAAATGCAGAAGAGTGCAAGAGATCTGTCCATGCACTAGAGACCCAAACACTCCAGCTGAGGGCCTGAATCCCACAGCAATGTACTGCACAAGTCCAGTTGAAGACCTATTGTCCATGACAGTGTCCTGCACAAGTCCAGCTGGAAGCCTAGAGCCCACGACAATGTCTCATGAAAGTCTGTATCAAGGGTCTGTACTGGGAAGGCCCAAAGGCCAGTGGTGGAAGCTAGAAAGTCTGTGCCACAGGATCTGTGCTAATGGGCTGAGAGATTCCCTGAGATTTTAAGCACGTCTTTTTATCTTATATTTTCACGGTGATAGGCACAGTGTGAAATTTTTTTTCCCTATCACTGGACGGCAACTTAATAGGTCCTTTCAATTTGGGGACTCACATCTTATAGTTCTAGGATATATTCTCTTACTGCATGTACTAAAATTCCTCCCCACCACTTAAGTGGTCTCCCTTACTTGATATCCTAAGAGACACTGGGCTTCTTGAATGAATTCTCTTATTTTTCATAATTTCCCCCCAATTGTTTATTTCTCTCTGATTTCTAAGATGTTTGACTTTGATTTCTAAACATTTTCAAAAACAAGTAATTCAGCTGAGTTTGATGGGATACACGTGTAATCCCAGAATTCTGGAAGTCTGAGGCAAACGATGGAAGTCTGAATCCAGACTGGGCAACATAGAAATTTCACGAGACAAACCTTGTCTCAAAATCTAAAAAATAAAAAGGGCTGAAGATGTTGCTCAGTATGAAGGTCCTGGGTTCAATCCCCAGTACCATAGGAAGAAAAATCAGTTATTCTATTTTTAACTTTCAAAAGCTATTTTTTTTTAATCCCTAAAATGTTTCTTGCTCCTTGGATACAACAGTTTCTCTTGTTTGCCTAAAGATGTTAATTACAAGGATTTGACACTCCGTTTTCTTCTAGATTATATCTGCTTTCTGTTTCTCCCTTCCATATGTTTAGGTATCCCATCTTTCAGGCTAGAGGCTTTCCTGAGATGTCTGGTAATATTGTGGTTGTTGCTTTGTATTTTTGCATAGTCATACGCAGCCAACAAGATATACTTTGTTCATAGGAGAGATCTGTCTAATGGTAGAAATCACTTTAGGGGACTGGGGCAACACATTAATCAGGGTTTCACAGAGAAAAAGGGTCAAAAGGGTGAGTATATAGAGAGAAACAGGGTTGTTTTAAGGGATTCCTGGTCCATATGTCATCAGGACTTGAGTCCACAACCTGACTAGAGTGGCCGTGGGCAGACCAGCAGCAGCGCTGTATTTAAACAGCACATGAGTGACTTTCTTTTGAGCTAGTAGGCCACTTTCTACCCATCGTGGGCAGGGAGGAAAGAGACAGGGAGGTGACGAAAGGAGATACATCCTTTGAGGACCTGTTCCAAGTGACTTGCCTCCTTGGACCAGACCCCACTTCCTAATGGCAAGGCAGCTATAGCCCCCCATACATTCAATCACTTCCAAAAGCATTATCTGTGACTGTATGCGGCTTTTAGGGGATCTTCTCAATGTTTGTATAATGTCATCTTTCTCCTACTTTTGGTTTACATATGCATTGTCTGGGACTCAACATATTTTATAGTTTTATCAAAGAATTTAGGTTTGTGTTCTTCATTTTTCTTGTTGTTTGAAAGGACTTTCAAGAAAAAACTGTCTTTGTTCTGACACTGGAAAGCAGAGTTCTGCCTGACTGACATTTTAAGTTTCTGCATATCCTGTTCTGATGCTTTCCAAATGACAGCACGCAGTGGGCACCACTGCCACATGACTACCTGACCTCACAAGGGCACATGAACACCTTGAGGCAGGGAAGGGAAGTGCGAGTCAGCTCCTGAGTCAGCTCCACCACACTGTCCAACGTTCTGTAAAACTCCTGGGCACGTCTAAGTAAAACACTTGGCTAACAGTGTCCCACGTTCTTCATTTTAAAATTAGATTAGTGGAAAATCTCATGACTATTACTTCTCTCAAAGAAATTCCTCATGTGTAATAAGTCATACTAAATCCCTGGATCAAAACCACATTAGCATGTGGTTAGACACCATGATGTTGCCCTTTATGGGTATTATCATATTAACAATCAGTAGGTTCCTGACCTGGTGTTAAACCATTTTTCTGGAAAGACAGAGTGCTTACCATGATGGCTAACTGTGTATGTCTCTTGGTGGACTGTAGATGTCCAAACACATGATTTCTGGATGTGCCTATACAGATGCTTCAGATGACAGCAAATCTGAACTGCTGGAAGCAGTGAAGCACATGGCCTTTGCCAATGGCTGGCATCCAGTCTATTGCAGACTGAATGGAGTCAAAGGCCAAGAAGTAGGGAAGCTGCTCCTTCTTGCCCGAAAGCCTGAACTGGACATTAGCTTCGCCCTGCCCTGCACTAGTGTTACACCAACAGTTCCCCTGGGCCTCAGGCTGTGCATTCTGACTAGAGTTGCACCACAGCCTTCCCTCGCTCTCAGGCTGCCACGTGGTGGGCTGTGGCAATTCTCAGCCACCATACTGCATAAAGCTAGTTTCCAGAATAAGTGCTTCAAGGCGTGTGTATGTGTTTCTCTAGAGAACCCTGATGCATCAAATCTACAAACTGCAGAATAACATCATCATTTTAAAGTGAGATGGAATTTTGGTTATTTTGAAAATGTATAAGAAAATTCTCAAAGTACATGTATTAAGAAAATTCTCAATCAGAATATATTTTTTTACCTTCTACAATAATAAAGACAATTAATTATCAAAAAAAAGAGGCTTTGGTAGTATTAGATATAAATTTCCTGTTTTCCTTTAGGCAATAGTAGCATATTGTAATAGATTAAAAAATTTGAAGTAACATTTAAAAAAAGAATATATGGGCTCGTTAGTCAAAGACATATAAATTCCAACCTACATTCCTTGACTTATTAGAAATTTACTTTAATCAGCAGGACAATGACAGAAGAAAGGTAGGCAATGAGCAACAAATCTGGTACAAATCTACAAACAGAATGTACTCTTCAGAATTCACTGCTACCAGTTAACAGAGCAGAGTCTAAGCATCTATAATTCAAAGTAGGAGTTAGTCTCATTCAGCCTGCCGGCTTTGTGAGGAGAATTAACTTCCCATTCACAATGGATCTAACTGTACTGTAATTAATATGGCGGCTGCATTAGTGTTTCAGAGTATTGTCACTTACCTGCATTAACATGTAGTAGATGCCAGTCATGCCATGGGCTGCTCCAACATACTGCTTCCTGTGCCACTGATACAACAAGGGACAGCGCTCAGCTTTTCTTTCTTCCCTTGCCAAAGTCTTGCCTGATTCAATAATAGCACTGACTACCTGCAGAGATATTGAGACACATGAATCTAAAAAGATTACATGTATCCTATTTTGGTATAACTAACATTAATAATGTGTGTGGAGAGAGGTAAGGAAGGAGAGAGAGATATTAATCTAAAAAATCTTTGAATAGAAGCTAATAGTTCTATTTATGTTATAAATTAATAAGCAAAGGCAAAGAGGAATGGGAAGACAATGTCAGAATAGACAAAGATGTAAAGAAATCTAACCAAGTCACCAAAAGTTCATCGTATGAAAAGTTTACTGCACTTAAACAAACTTCCTAAATGGTTTCAGGTATTTTCTTTGCTCTGTCACTGCAATTTCTTCTCCAAAAGAATTCCAGGTAAGAAAGTTGGAGGAACTGGCTTCACTGATGAGGAGAGACTAACGAAACACAGTCTACTGTGGCATGAAAGATCTCAGATTAGAGGACTATCATCTCTAGCATGACTATCAGGTAAAGATACTATTGCTTCCTTATGCCCATACTTCTCTCATCCTTTTGGTAAAGCATGCCGAGTTTTAGCTAGGCATCTCTTGTAGAGGAGCCCTAACAAAGGAAGCTGTTTCTCCTCTACTTACTCTTTTTACCTTCCACAGCTGGCTATGGGTCCAAACCAACCCTGTCATGTAGATGAGGTATGTGGCAAGCACTGTCCAGTAAGACAGAAGAGGACAGGTCCCAGCCACACTGTCCTCATACATCTCACAAAAAGGAAACAATGATTCTAAATATTTGAAGTTGCTGTTGTCTGGTTCTAGTAAAACCAACTCAATCAATAAACGATGAAAAAAGTATAAACTTAACAAAATTCCCTCTGTACTATAAAATGTATAAATAAAAAAATTAAAAATTCCTGAAAACCAAAATAGCTATTGTAAAATTTTTATGAGATGCTTTAAAAAAATTAATTCTACCCACCAGCAGAGCCCATCTACCATCATAGGCCATCTATAAGGCTATGTAAATAGAGAGCTGTTAATGCCCACAGGTCATGATCCCACATTACCTCTTTAATAGCAGATTCGCACACGGTGCCTGGGCCAATCTCCGTGTTCAGGTACAGTAAGGCATATAGATACCCTGCCCGTCCATATAACAACTCATCAGGGAGCTCAGACTCCTGGCAGACAATGGTTCTATGCAACTGCAAAAGTCTAATGAACAAGAAAAATTCTGTTGTCCAGGAAATGATTAAAATAACTCTTCCTGACAAAGTTAAGTCACCTCATCACTTGGGGAATTATTTTTAAGTTTAAAATATGATTAAAAATATATAAACCCAGGAAATGGGTAAAACTTTTCCACTTTACTAATTCCTCTGTCAAATATAAAAGTTAAGAAAAAAAATTTCTGCTCAAAATTTGTCTGCATATGCATTCCAAACCATGTAATAGAAGAGATTTCATTCTGAAGTCCACCATTAGAAGAAAGTGATTTAAAATTACAGAAATGTGAGTGGACTCAAGAACGAGCCTGACTGCTTTGAGTTTTTGATGGATATTAGTTGACTGGCTCATGCTAGACACTCTCTGAGATCCTAGGAGGAGCCCTGATTTCTGCTTCTTCAAAACAAAGGTGCAATAAATGCACACACTTCATAACTGTTCCATCATTAGCATATCTAATCAGTTATTTAAGGCTGAATTTTGTCATTTTCCTGGTATGTAGGCTAGTTTTCACACATCAAAGGAAATTGCTTAGGAAATTGAATAAAGAATGTTGATTTTCCCCCCACCCCCAAATTAAGGGATCTTTTTGCTTGTAAAGAAACAGCATAGGGTTCCACCATTATAGTTAAGACTAACATACAAACCACTTCATTTTTTGGAGGGCCTTGTGTATAACAGTAGACTATTTACAAATAATTTCCTTTTGAATGCTTTCCTACTGAAAGAGCTTCAAATGAGAATTTGGAGAAAGCATTTCCAACTTTAAAAGCTCACTTTATGATGCATTCCTGGGACTCGCAGTCACTCTTGAGTTTATGATAGACCACAGCTCCGACTGCAAGCGGCCCGGCATCTCCACAGAGAAAAGTGACCCTGCGGCCATTCAGATTCCGAAGCGTTCTCTTGACATAATCCAGGGATCGCAGCAGGTGAGTCTGGTCACCAGTGACCCGGTGCAGCTGCAGGTATAGGAGGGCTATGCCTGGAATGAGCCCCACCAAACAAAAGCACTGTGAGCTTTCCTTTCACTTTTGGAGTACTCTCTCTTTTTTTAAAAATTTTATTTAAGGAGATAAAAAAAAGCAGAGAAAGGGTACAAGTTATACAGATTTACAGAAAAAAATGAACAGTAGGAAATCACTAGTTAATGGATTACATATTGTCATCTTAGAAATAATTGTTCAAGTCACAAAATTAAAGCTTGTAAAGTGGACATTCCAACAGTGAGACTGTAAACAGTTCTGTTCAATGATCCAATAAAACTCAGTGATATCATTTTCTATCTTATACACTTAAATATACATGCAGTTATATCATTTAGAGCACTTTCTTTTGTACAATGACAATTACACATTTTGGGTTTTGTTGCTCCCACAGTTCTTGGAGTACTCTCTTGTAATAACAAGAACCACATTCTTCTACGTAATCTCTGTATTTTGAAGGGGGCAATACAAAAATCCTTTTTCTTCAAAATGAAAACAAAACAGAAAACCAAGATATGGAAATTCGGGTAGAAAAAGACTTAAGTCAAATTTAAACCTACTCCCTTGCTAATTGTCCTAATGTAGTCGTCACTACATCTATATCTAATACAGAGTTACCAAAGTCCTCCCTTTCCTGGTTACCTTTTATTCATTTGCAGGGTGCACGCACCCTTCTTTGTATCTCAAGCAAATCTGGATCCTTTTCTTTGTATTTCTCATACATCATTTTCTCCTGCATTACCTCAAATTAAACAATTACTTTTCTGGATTTTATGCCTTCTTCCTAACTTTTATGTTCTTAAAAATTTTTTTGTTTTCTTTAGTGACCCATCCATCCAACTGACCAACTACCCAGTAATCACCTGCCATTTATGGAAAAAGCACAAGCTTCAGGGAGTCAACTACAAGAATGGATCCCAGAGTTCTTACTGTAATCGTTCTCTTTATTATACAGCTCTCTGGATGATTCTAACACATGACCAACTTGGAAACTAACTCTTGGGATTAAACACAACCCTTTTTTTCAACAAGAAGAGGAAATACTGTAAGTAAGATCATTAGGGAAAATGTTTTAAATGTTTTACTAATGGCATGTTATTTTTCAAGTATATTTTCCTTCCCAAAATATTCTTTGTATTTTACTTCTAACCAAAATATCTAATTTTATACTTAAGATAAATTTCTTGGACACTATAGGTCTATCTGGCCATGTAAGTCTGAAATATTTAATTCTAATGTCAATGTGTAAATGTTGTATTGATAAAAGGCAAACAATAAATGAAACATCACTAAAATGAATGTAAATATTAATACAAGGCCAGTATGTTTGGTTATGCATTGCAAAGCCAGGTATTAGTTCCTGGGGTCCCTAACATATATACCTGTGTCTATGCTATTTATTAACTAAACCATAAAAATGAAAATGATTCTAAATTTATATGCTAATCATTATTAGCAATTTAATCAGACTTTAATCCATTAAGTCTATCTTATTTCCTTTATAAACTCTGTCAACTATAATGTATAGTTAACTAGTAAAATAGTAAGAATATAAAGTTAAGGCAAGTGTATTTTGAAATTATGCTTTGTGGTATGAAGTATATTACTGGTAGCTTATAAACTTAAAATAGAAACCCTGATGTTTGTCAAACAGTCAAACTGAATACAAGTAGTAGAAGAAACAGATTGAAGAAAATCAAACACTTTCTCACAAGACTAAAGCAGTAACAATAGCAACAATAACAAAACCATATATTCATTTCTTATTGTACATTTTCATTATATATTAGGTTAAATAAGTAATCATATAAAAATATGACATACTATACATTATAGGTCAAAATTCTGGTAGAAAGTATTTCTTTAGAAATAAAGTTACAAAGCACCTTAGCAATGAAGACACAGTTCAAGACTCCAAAGGTATAAAACATTACCATTTTTTTAAAAAATTAATTTTTAAAATTTTTATTTATTTATTTTTGAGACATAGTCTTGCTATGTAATTCAGGCTAGCTTTGAACTCACTTTGTGTCCCAGGCTGATCTTGAACTTGTGGTGATCCTATCCTGCCTCAGCCTCCCGAGGGCTGGGATTATAGGCGTGCTCAGCACAAACTAAATTTTAAACCCTAAATTTTAAAAATTTATCTCATGATATATCTCATGATCCAAGAATAAAACATTCTCACCTGTCCAACCAGTATAAACAGAGCAATCATGAGGATCAGCTGTCTTCAGCCCTTCTTCCATTTGTTGTAGAAGATCTTTGATTTTGGTCTGGATCCTCCTAGTGAAATTTTGAATGATCTGAGAACCAAAAGAAGAGAGAAAATTAAATTTCACAAGAACAAGGACAATGTTGTAACAGTCTAAACTGCATGAACATAAAGACAGAAGTCATTTGTTGTGACCCATTTCAATGCCTCATTGACTTAGAAGGTCAGTATTTTAAGGAGATAATGCCTCTGATAGATTATACTTCTTAAGTAGGACCATGAACATTACCTACAGAAACCAAAGTGGAGAATGCAGAAACAAAAGAGATATTTAACTATACAAACATTTTTGAAAGGATTTTGCCCTAGATATGATATTACAGCAGTGCGAGGTGGGACCAAGGGATGTTTACCTTGAGGTCACTTCCCCCTTCCCCTAGGACAACTTCCTTTTCCTTCTACCAGTGGTGCGAAAAATGTCCCAATCAGCTGCACGACACCAATGCCCACCCTAAGTGCAAACCCCGGTCAGAGGTTATATGTATGTCTCCATACCCCACATCCTGATCAGAAGAGGCCTAGCCGTTTTTGGCCATGGAGCACTTTTCCATGTCCTTAAAATAAAGGTTACTATTTCTTTATATTCTTTTTACTCTTTCCTTGCGCTGAAAACTCTATCATTTGGTTCTCTGACCTTCAGGGCAGTGTGAATGACTCCTGGGGTCTCCCAGTTTGAGTCCTCCTGCTAATTCAGGGACCAGACCGTATCTTGGATTAATTCATTTCTCAACACGCGGGAGCTGCTCAACTTGTCGCCACCAGCCTACAAACACTGGCCTAGTTCATTTACTTCAGTTGAGCCAACTTCCGTCTGAGGGTTTCTCCGTGACTGTGGGCTGGGCTCATGCTGGACTATCCATTCTGTGCCTGGACTGAGGTAGCAGTTCTCACATTCCTTGGACAGTCCAAGGTAGAGCTGTTACTGTGGTCCTCTGGGATCCCGACCCTTGCCTTTTGGTGATGGCCAATGGGTTCAGGTTGGATCCGTTTTTAATCATACTTCCAAAATAGGTGACAATCTTTTTGGTTAGGCGTGATCTGGGACAATTTTCATGTTCCTTGTGGGAGGGCCAGAGCTCTTACCCCTTAAAACAAAGTTGTCCTTTTGGCTCACTTTTAATTTGGTCATGGGAAATACTGTTTCCTGTCCCCTGAAAAACACACGTCTGGGGTGCCTTGTTCATAACCCTGGTGCTCTTGGCCTCTAAAAAGCTACAAAAACCAAAAAGCTGATCTTTTATTTATTCTTTTGTCATGATGGTGACAAGTTGGCAGAAACCCTTCATCTTTAGGTCTTTTTTACTTTAAGGACGTGTCCTTTACTCACTCTGTCTTCTATGATGGCCCAAATACTTCTGGCTCACTCTGCTCCATCAGAATCTCTCCCTCTTCCCACACTCAGGATGTGGTTCCTGTCTTTACAGCTGCTCCCTGTATCTCTCATACCAAACCCCGCAGCCTTCTCAGCCAGAGGTTTCTTTGCCCCCTGTGCCATTCTCTCCTCCTCCTTCACCCACAATGGCCTCTAATCCTTCTCTTAGTGTCTCTCCCCAGTCTCCATCTTCTCAATCCCACCACCACGTGAGCAGTCTTTTCCATCGGAGGATTCTTTGTCCCTTTCCCCTGCATTACCATTTTCTCTGCTGGCTCACCATACATGGTCTCGGGTGTTTCAGCATTCTGGCAGGCTACATGGTTGCCAGTAGCCATGTTGCTGCAGCTCACGTGGAGGACAGCCACCATCTTGTGGCCCTCTGCCACATGATAGGGTGCCACCATCTTGCAACGGGTCTCAGGTCAATGGCCATCCCCTTTTGGCTCCTCCTGTGATCAACAACAGGCATCCTGTTGTGGGTCACATGATGACCAGCTGCCATTTTGTGTTCACTCACCTGTGGCCACCTGATAACACTGCTGCATGTCACACAGTAACCCGACAATAGCCTGTGTTTCCTTGTTGCATGGTGACGAGCAACCGTTTTATAGCCAATTATTGGATAACTGCCCACACACACCTGCCAGACAGATCTCTATTCCTGCTTCAGGAACAGGCTGGCCCCAAAAGATTAGCTAATATCTACATTCCTTTTTCCCTTTCTAAACTATCTCAGATTAGCCATAAATTAGGTTCCTTTCCTGGTATTCTTATTTCAAGAGATCTCTGTTAATTGATCTACAAAAAGGTTCACACTAGTCTATTATTATAGTTCAAATTGACCAAATATATTTGAGTGCACTCTGATTTTATAAGGTGATTTTCAGTCTATATATCTGTTGTCTGTTCATTTGCCTGCTATGTAAACAACTGTTTCTTTTTATTTGAGCTCAACAATTTTTTCCTCCTCTTTTATATTTTCAGATCATTTAATCAAGGTTATTTGTGTTACAGATTTAAAAAACATGTGTCAACCTAGGTTGCCAGCTGGTCAAAATGATGCTAAAATTGTTTAAACAAAATCCCTTGGGGTGAGGAGACATTGGACAGGACTTCAACTGATAAACAAGAAAGTGGCCATCTGGTAACTTTAACCAGCTCTTGTTCATTAACTGGAGGCCCCACTAATCTCCATAGCCTTATGGGAGACACCCCAACTAAATAAAATTCATATGACTAAGACAATTCATTGTTGCTGATCTGATGGTGTATTCATGCCTTCAAATGTAGAATTGCGACTGTTTATGATGACAAGTGTTTTTTTCAGGTCCAGACGTGTGCCTTTTTCTTGTGCTCCAGCCAGGAGATTCAGGTCAGACCAACACGAGGTCACCAGTCAAATGATAAGTTTTTTTAAAAAACTATGTAATGTATATATTATACTTAGAGATGCTTAAATAGTAAACAATTCAATGTCACAAATTTCTTCAGTGCTCAAATGTTAAAATACCCATGGTTAATAGAAAATAACAGTTCCATTTAATGTTCTATGTTAAGCTTTCTGCCTCTACTGCACTGTACTGTTATCAATCTTCTGGATGTCCAACAACTAAAATTAAGAGATAATTATAAATTCCTTTTGGATTCCTTTTGCTGGGATCCACCAGATCTTTTCCCAAAAAAAAGGTTATATGATGCAAGGGGTGAAAGCAATGAGACTGGCGCTGAGGCTAAGGCTGGAGCAGGGGCCAGGTCTGAGCCTTTCCCAGCCTGTCCGCCAGCCCTGGCTCAGCCTTCCACTGACTGGTGGATGCCGGGCATATTGGGGCCATAATTAACTACACTCAACTGGCGTTAAATGACACCACAGCTGATTTCTCTCCTAAATAAAAAGGTAAAATTAATAAAACAGGCCATCCTCCAAAAATCAGATGTCATTAGACATTCTAACAGCATAAGAGATACTTACATAATTGTAAAACGTTTATGTGTGTATGACAAATGAATGACATGTCAGTTTCTAAAATTCCCTGGACCTTATCCTTATCTCCTTATAGGAAGCCACTGCTAAAGTTATAATCATAAATATCCTGTTGATTGTATTATTTGACTTCTGCATACTTGATTCTTTGCCTTTGTCTCCTTTAGACTAAAGATAAAAACCTCTTTAGACCCAAGATAAAAACCAGATGTCTTGTGAGTATGGAAGAGACAGATACCTTCCACTGTGGGCCAGATCCCATGACAAAAGGCTAAACTTGTCATGGGATCTGGGAGACCTTCTTAACATGGCTTTTCATGTTTTCAACAACAGAAATAAAAATCAAAAGGAAAAATAACAATCTGATCTTTTAGCAGTGACATTTGGAGCTCTGAGACAGGTAAACTGATACAAGGTGGAGCTGTCTGAGCCTCTCCCGGACCATGCTTCAAATGCAACAAAGGATACTGGGCAAGAGAGTGCCCTAACCCCAACGTTCTTCTGGGGCCTTGCCCCTATTGCAATCTCAAAGGCCATTGGAAGAGCGACTGTTCTAGCTGCCAGAGAGCAGGTAAGCTATCCTCTAACTTGTTGCCCTCCTAGGATATCTCATCACCACCAGATTCATGGCTGACTGATCTACTTGGACTTGCTGCTGAAGACTGATGGGGTCCATAGCTCTCCATTAAGGTATCCGTCTCAGAGCCCCAAGTCCCACTGGAGGTCTCAGGTAAGACATTCTTTGTACTTGTGGACATAGAGGCCATGTACAGTGTTCTTCCTGAGTTTTCAGGCTGCTATATTAAGTCCTCAGTCTCTATAATGGGTGTTAACTGCTAGCCTATGCAGCCTTTGCAGACAGGGCCTATTCCATGCAGGTTCCAGACTCTCTTCTTCTCTGGTCAATCCCATAGTTTGAGATACCTCCAATCCCATCTGCACTATCCATGCCATGCCTATTTTAATTCATCTCAGGGATCATTCAATTTTTTCTTGTGTTCCCCAATATCCCATAGCTCCCAAACATTTGCAGGGACTTAAACCTATAATTAAGTGCCTTTTAGACAATGGTTTTCTTAAACCTGCCCATTCACCCTATAGTACTCCCATTCTCCCGGTACTCAAGCCTGAAGGATCTTATTGCCAAATGCAGGATCTTAGGGGTAATCAATAGTGCTGTTACTGCAGTCCACCCAGTGGTGCCAAACCCTTACACCATGGTCTCTCATATCCTTCCCTCCACCACTCACTTTACAGTTGTAGATCTTAAAGATGCCTTTTTTACAATCCCTCTACACCCTGACTGTCAGGATCTCTTTGTGTTTACATGGAGTGATCCAGACACTCTTAGGTCTCAACTTACTTGGACAGTGCTCCCCCAAGAGTTCAGGGATAGTTCCCACTTATTTGGCCAAGCTCTTGCTGCTGACCTTGAAGAACTTGATCTCAAATCTAGCACTCTCCTTCAATACATAAATGACCTTCTCTTATGTTCTCCATCCCATATGTCAGCCATACAGCATTCAGCTAGTCTCTTTAGACTTTGCCTGTGACTGAAGTTAAGGGCGATGGATTGATTAAATTGGCAAAGGAAATTTCAAGGCAATCAAATATCAAGTTGGTGGCACGGCTATTATTAAAAGCTTTTAGCCAAATTTATGATGCCAATCAAGAG